ATGGGGTTGCAGAGCCCTGCAGGACTTTGTGACTGGGGATGCATGCATGCATAGGCTTAGCCTTAATGCAGTTGATTGTTAAAACAAAGGAAACGTCTTGGTTCTTCTGTTTTGTAGTTTCCGTGAAAAACTAGAAGCAGTTGAATATAAAATAGCATTTTAATTTTTTATATAGTTAAATGTTTATAAGGCAAGAAATAATAAAGTGCAGATATTATTTGCTTGATTTATTTTGCTCCTATTTTTCCAGCATTAAAAAGTAATGCTTTATATGATCTTGTTTTATTACAACAATAAACCAGAAGCAAAGGCTTATCAGTTAAAATACATTCTGCCATTAAGTAATCTTTCTTTTTATCATTTCAGGCTTTCAGAATTCCATGTTTTTCCTATTTGATAGAGAATTGGTAGAATTGGAGGTAGAAAAGAGTGATAAAAATCACATATATATTTTTAATCGTATTATATGTTGAAGTTGTATTTTCTGGTCAAAGGGAAAAAAAAGAATATCCACTCTCAAACATTAAAATAAAATCATTCTAAATAAGAGCAGTATGCTGAGATAAGCACAACACTAAGGAAATTTTTTGAAAATCTTTTTCTGTGTTCCCAAGCTTTTGCTTTTTTTTCCTTAAATTTTCTGAAATTTGCTGATAATTGGTAATTTGAACATAATCTGATATTTTGCATTACGGATAGCATAGCCTATAGTACTTTAAGAAATGCTAATTTTTTTAAAAACCATTTAAAAGATTTTACAAACCAAGGAAAATTGATATAAAACAGGTCATTTGACAGCCTACCTTATTAGCTTCCTCCTATCTGTCTCATGGCACTTAGACCTGATGGCATTTCATCTGAAAGACAATACTAAATTAACAGCTGCAAAAAAAGACGAACTTGTAAAGACTCTATCAGAGAAAAATATATCTGGGCTAAATTCATCTGCACTGAGGTAAAGAGGAGATTAATCAAAGTGTTTATCTGATTCATACCAGGGAAGGTGTAAGTAGGTAACCACACTACACAGAGGAAAGGAGAAAGCACATTTGTTCACCTAACTTTTGTCTTTTAGAGTATTTTGAATTTACCATTAATTTGAACATCATTCTGAACTTTGACTTAGCTGTCACCACGTTTCCTTATACCTTGGTTGTGAAGTTTTTTTATTAATGGTCAGACATGCAACACACATGCACCACAGCATGTTCACTTTCTTTTCTGAGGATCTAATCCCAAACTTGGGCTTCCCTGGTGGCTCAGAGGGTAAAGCATCTGCCTGCAATGCATGAGACCTGGGTTCGTTCCCTGGGTCAGAAAGATCCCCTGGAGAAGGAAAGGCAACCCACTCCAGTACTCTTGCCTGGGAAATTCCATGGACGAGGAGCCTGGTAGGCTACAGTCATGGGATTGCAAAGAGTTGGACACCAATGATGAGTAAATACATGTCTTAACGAATAACATTGTCTTTCTGACCCATGCAGAGCAATATATAGTGACATAGAAATATGTTGAATTTTTTAAGATCCCATTTCTGATAATATAGAAAGAATCCAAGTTATAATTAACTTTTAGTAGTTGGATTGTTTTTTACTTGATGTATTTGGGGAAATTCCATTATATTGCAAAAAAAAAAGTCCACATAACAAAAGCTCTTTTTTATGATGTTGACCAGCTAATTTCTACTTAACCTTCAAACCTCAGCTCTTTTTCTTTTCCTGGAAGTCCCTGTCGTTACAGCCCTTCTCTCCCTCCACCATCCTCCACCTGAGTCTGATTGTCACTCCTCGGGGCTCCCTGGCCCTCTGGGCTTGCCTCACCCATGTTCCTCCCTAACATGCACCTTGATGTCCTCATCTCATGTGCTCATGGGCTGAAAACTTCTGGGGGACAGTCTGCTGTCTGAGTTTGTATGCCTTGGCATAGAATAAACATTCAAAAGATATTTGTTATTTCTGTGATATTGAGTTGTAAGAATAAAGAGCTCTGAAGTTTTTCTTGCTACTGTGCTTTACTCTTTTCAGGCTACCTTTTGGCTTTGCCCAAACGCCCTACCATTTCCCCACTTCTGTATTCAGACATTTTTGGAATGACTAAATCACAGCCCTAGCCTGCAGAGGGTCGCAGGCTGAGCAAACAGACACACATAAAGAATTCTGTGTTGAGTTCCATGATAAAGGGGAAGATATGCTGTGAGAATATGGAGGACATTGATTATGATTTAGAACATCTGGGAAGGATTTAAAACCCTGCCCAAGGTTAGCATGAAGGGAGGTGTTTTCTTCTGCATCAGAACAACTATTCAATCTTTATGCTTCATAAGTTGCAGTATGGACTGTGTATATCCCCGAGCATGTGCCCACGGAAAGTACCTCCCTCCCTTTTTTATTTTTAAAAGATTTAATATGTTTAAAGAAATGAAATAGGCAAAAATATGAGCTAGTAACAGAGAAATGAAACCATAAAAATTCATCAGTCCCCCGCCCCTTTCTGCTGTAGTTTTATTTGTATCTCTGTTCAAAGCCCAAATTGACCATGGAAAACTATTTTCTACTCAGCATTACTTTTAAAAAAATCAAAGTCTTTGAACATATGAAAGTGAAGAGAATAATATAAAAATAATGATATAACAGATTTCCACTTGCCCAATAACGATTTTCAGCAGTAGTACCTCCCGTCTTGGTGAAAAAAAAGACTTTGATTACTTCCTAAGTGTGGGGGAGCCAGTCAAGAAAATCAGTAGGTGCTCACGTACCATTCAAACATTTTAATAGACTTAGAGGAGACAACATGCTTTTTCAAGATCAGAAAGGTCTGATCAATTTAAACTCAAAGGGTAAGAAGTTATTGGAGGACAGGATTACATGATAGCTAAAAGATAAATATTGAACTAGGAACCTCTAGGTCGTGAAAGAATGTGATGTAGATCGTAGGGGAGAGAAATTCAGTTTAGTCTTAAAAGAAAGAAATGTTGAATGTTGGGAACAGACTGTCTTATTGAAAAGGTAAGATTGAGTACAACTTAAAATTCACCGTGATGCCATTTGAAGCATTTAAGATATATATATGTGCATGTGTACTCTGCCTCAATCCAAAAGGATCAGTGGGAGGACCCAGTAAAGTGAACTAAACAGATGATTTCTAGAAATAAAGTCAGTTTCATAACATTTTCTAATATAATTTTAATAGTTCCCCTTCAGGAAAATTAAAGTCAAGCAAAGCATGTTTATTGATTCACTCCTTTTGTGAACATTGAAAAACTACCTACTCAAATGCAGGGCACTGATCTAGGGATTTAAATGTGTTTGATTTTACTTCTGTCTCTTTCCCCACTCCCTGGTCTTCTATCTGGAGGAGTAAAAACACAAGTAGTAGTAGATATCGTTATATTTAGTTCGTGATGCGTTAAGCTAGGTATTGGACATTTTCTAACCAAGGAAGCTTTAACAATACAATTCCTACTTTTTTTTTTTCAAGTAATTCTCAGAATTTATTGTTAATAATGTGAACCTAACCAGAAATAATCTCTCCCCCTTTCTAATCATAAATCTTGCTTTGGGGAGATGAAGTATGATGGTATCTATATTAGCACAATTTAGTTGGTAGTCACAGTTCTCATGTGAGTGGACACCATGCAAATAAATGTATACATTAAAATTGGACAGTACTTAAAGAGGTTTAGTAATTCATCCTGTTGCTTCTGCAAATAAAGAGCCAAAGCCCCATTTATGCACTTGCTAAAATATGGTAGATAATGATGCATTCATGTTTAATATTGCTAATAAATTTGAAAATTCACACTTTTATTGGTAAACATTTTCTTGAAATGCAGTCCGGGAGGACAGATTATTAATCTAAAGACTTCATAAATAAGAATTGAAGACACTGATAGGATTAGTGGCAGGGTTTGGGCAAGAGCCATCTACCAACTTACCTGACTCCCAAGCATTCAGCAATGACTTTCATATTTCACTTTTATGTGCCACCAAACTGCACACAATTTTAGGGGAAAAATTAACATGGTAACAGATAATAATCATAGTAAATACTGTGCTTCTCCTTATTGACTTAAATTACATACTTACAATATTTCAGAAAAATATTTCTGTTAGTCTGGTTAAATATATTCCAGTTTTTGGCTGTAGAATTTATGTATAGAAGAAATATTTAAATCTCTTTTAAGATTTTTCTCTTTGATGTACACACCAAAAAGGCATATTATACACTTCAGACAGTTTGAGATCTAGAAATATTCATTGGAAATCACAAAGGCTCATTAATATTTCCATCCGCATAGGTTTTAATGACATATTGCATAGGTCAGGATACCCCAAGAATTATTTCCTCTTTGGGTTAGTTCTCTCTAAAATTTCAGAAGACTTTTGAGAGGAACGAATTCATAGCTTACAAATAATATTTCAGAATATATCTTAGAATAGCATAGCACACTAAACTGTATTTTTTGTAGTGAAAGTTTTGCTGTATTTGATTACTATACAGAAGTCTTAATGTTCTTTCTACTTATTACCCTCTGAATTGATTAGAACACATGCTTATTTGAATTTTATCTTGTATCCTTAGTGGACTTTATGTTTCATTCTTTTTTTTCCCCATTAAGATTCCAGAAGCTTATTTCATTAGAGATCCCCATACGTTCCTTCTTACAAAGGACTTTATTAAGGTATTTGTGTTGTATTTAGTTTTCAGAGTGTTCTCTGGTCTCTAGCTGCTTGCATGTACTCACAGGATAACATTTCCACATTTAACCCCAGCTTCTAAATAAAAATAGTGACTTAACGGAAGCATGTTTGGAAGGAGAAGCAGAGCTTGTCTACAAAATACTAACACTTGGATGATTCTGCACCCTGGGAGAAGAGCACCCGGCGAATTTTCTAGACTTTTTTCATGGCTGACTTGGGATACACTTTGCGTTGTCAGAGTGTGTTGACCCCTCTCGTTGATGCATACTGATTGTGACAATCACTCTCCTTCCCCTGCAGGCCATGGAGGCACAGATACAGAACTTTGGACAAACGCCATCTCAGTTGCTTATTGAGCCACATCCGCCTCGGAGCTCTGCCATGCACCTGGTAAGACGTGGCAGCTTGTGGAACATTTCTGTCTTTCTTTGTACCTGAGTAGAGTTCAAATAAAATAGTGATTTTTTTTTTTAGCAGCGTTTTAAAGCTTCTTGATGTATTGGCTTAACTCTTCAGCCTCAGGATATACTGATTACCTAGAAAGAAACAGAAAAAGGAGTCTAGTTCTTACCTCTAAGTTTGGCTTCAGCTAGCCCAATTTTGGATTCACAAAAATAGCCACCCTCTCTATTAGGAGTTGGCTCATATATATAAACTCCTTCATACACATACAGGCTTATAGACATACACAGGCACCAAAATTAGGTTACACTTATAAATTAGAATGAAAAATATAATAGAAACACAATCTAAAGGTAGCAGGTTTGATCTTTGGGGGCAAAGTGTGGTAGGGGAAGTAGTTCATTTTAAGAAAAGGAAAGAAATATAGAGATAATATACAGCCTCTGCATGGCAGCAGTCAAGAAAATAGATTAAAAATAAGGACCTCAGAGCCAGATTTGGGTCAAGCACCATGTCTGCCATGAACTAATGAATGAATTGGGCAGGGTATTTAAGTTCTTCGTTTACATTTCAGCATGTGTAGCCTGAGGGTAACAAATCGCACCAGCCCTGAAAATGTAATGACTCAGTACTGTATGTAGCACTTAGACTTACATACTCTGGCATACAGGTACTCAGTAAATGTTAGCTGGTGTCATATTCTCAGTCTTCGAGGGAAGAAGTAATATTCTTTTCATTTCAATCTGCATCTTTTAAGATCCATTTTCATAAGAATACGGCTTCTTTTCAGTTTTTAGCAGTTAACATTTCCCTCTTTATTTAATTTGAAGGTAAAAATTTTTCTAAGAAATTACGTTAGATCTTACTTTGTCACTGTGATTTTCCACTAAGTTTTTACTGAGGAAAAAAAAATGCTTGACAGCAAAAATATATTTGAAGAATGAATTACAGTTCATCAGTTTTTCTAGATAATTGTCAAGGGACCAGATATCCTCATACTGGAGTAAAGTGCCCTGAACACAGTCCATATTGTATGTGTAAATAAATGTACAAGTTGTTATTGTGTGATAGAAGTATTGTTCGTACCTTTCATTTATCCTGTCAACTACTTTACACATTTGAATCAAGCCCCTTCTGTGTGCCTAAGCATTGGCAGTACAGAGACAATAAGTCCTATACACCTTCGAAGGGTTGATAGTCCATCACCTACTGAAACATAAATAAATGTGAATGTTTGAAAACATTTCTTTTCCTCTACAATAACTCAGCTGAACAGTTTCACTGTTTAGTCACTAATGAATTCTGCTGCTTGAGGTGGGTCCTCACATGCAGCCAAGCAGAGAGACTTTCACCACGCATGCTGTCCCCATCCCACACCCAGGTACAGCGTAGACGTGGAGCCTGCAGACCTGAGAGGAAGCATTTTTAACAAACTGTCCAAGAGAGTCTCTCTCACACTTTATTTTATGAAATGCTTTGGCAGAAGAGTTTTATCCCTGTGTTGGTTTTCTCTGTTTAATAATAATAATAGTAAAAAATATTTATCCTGGAGAAATGCCCAGTCAGAACTCATTACTTTCCTAGGGGAAATTGTTAGAGGCTAAATTGGCATGGAACTGTTCATAAAGAAAATCAGCTTTTTAAGTTTATGTAGCAGAGAATTCACACACATACACACACATCTATATAAAATAGTGAACAATTAGAAAACATTCATGAAAGCTAAATAGTGGTTATTTCCAGCATTCTTATCTTTTATGTAATAATGTGTATAGTATTTTGCTACCCACTCCAGTATTCTTGCCTGGGAAATCCCATGGACAGAGGAGCCTTACAGACTACATTCTTTGCCATGGGTTGGGAAAGAGTCAGATATATCTTAGTGACTAAACCACCACCACCATACTACTTACTGGCAGTACTGGTAGTGTCTACTTTCTATCAAGTCATATACTAGATGTTTGAAAAACAAAGATTAAAAAAGCAAAGAGAGTGTTGTCTCTCAGGAAGCTCACCATCGAGCAGGGGAAGGAGCCTAAACCATGGTCATCAGAGACATAGCAGAGGCGTGCACATGGAGCATGGACAAGGGAGGCTCTGATATTTCAGTTATCGAGACTGTAGCCATGCCCCCAGATCGGCCAGGTAAAAAATGAAAGAATCAGTTCACTTCGTATTTCACATAAACAGTGTTGGTAACTGGCTTGACTGATGTTTCCACCACAGTGATGTTGTAACTGCACTGAAAAATTATACTGCATCATGTAGACATATCGCTGAGCTAACTTCTTAAGTCATCTGGAAATGTGTTAGTCACTCAGTCGTGTCCAACTCTGCGACCCCGTGAACTGTAGTCCACCAGGCTCCTCTGTCCATGGGATTCTCCAGGCAAGAATACTGGAGTGGGTTGCCATGTCCTTCTCCAGGGCACCTTCCCAACCCAGGGATCAAACCTGGGTCTCCTGCACTGCAGGCAGAGTCTTTCCATCCGAGCCACCAGGAAGCCCTCTCCCATCGTCTGGCAGCACCTAAATTGCAGCTGGTTATATTAATCATTGGGAGTCCTCTATCAGCAACTGTGCAGAGTGCCCGCTCATTTGGCTGTGCCCTCCGCACAGACAAGAGTGCCAGCTGCCCTGCTGTCTGCTTGTGCTCACGCTAGCCTGTTTTAATCTCACTCTCCCCCACGCTGTCACTAACTGTGTTATTCCTTTTGTTTCCTTTGCTCTCCTCCCTTTCTATTCAACAGTGTTTCCTTCCACAGAGTCCACTCATGTTTAAAGATCAGATGCAGCAGGATGTGATCATGGTGCTGAAGTTTCCGTCAAACTCCCCAGTGACGCACGTGGCGGCCAACACGCTGCCCCACCTGACCGTCCCCGCGGTGGTGACGGTGACCTGCAGCAGGCTGTTTGCGGTGAACCGGTGGCACAACACAGTAGGTGCGTGGGCCGGAGGGGGTCACTTCCGAGCGGGGTCTTAAAGCTGGGGTTCAGGTGAGTGTGCGGAGGGCTCGCGAGTATGCCCCGTGAGCTCCACGAAGCAGCAGAGTTAATAACTTCCAGACCTCACCCATTAACTCGTCTGTCTTCTTCATTGCTGCTGTGCTTTGGTGCCACACGCAGCGCTTGTTGTTTAGTCATTCAGTCATGTCCAACTCTTGTGACCCCACAGATGGCAATCCACCAGGCTCCTCTGTCCATGGGACTTCCCAGGCAAGAACACTGAAACGGGTTGCCATGTCCTCCTCCAGGGGATCTTCCCGACCCAGGGATCCAACCCTTGTGTCTGCATTGACAGGCAGAGTCTTTCCCACTGAGCCACAGGGAAGCTCACAGAATGCTTGGCTAATGGTTCAGTATCTAATAAGTATTTGATAAATTGAAGCAGTTCTACTAATAATTCAGGTCCTCCCACCCTGCTCCTGCGAGGGGAAAAAAAAAAGACAAATTGTATCCCATACTAAACAAAAACAACTTTGAATCTAGGTGGTTTCAAATCCTTTTTCTCCCACTTGATTAACTCATTTAGGAAATATCTGAATGACCACTTTGTGTCAAGTGGTCCTGGGCACTGAGAGTGCAGCAGTGGACAAGGCAAGTAGCATCCCTCTCTTTGTGGAGCTTTGAGTCCGAGAGAAAACAGAATCTAAATTGTTGAGTTATTTCATGTGTGTTTTCTCCACACTCATTCCTGAAGGTTCCAGCTAGTTCATCTTGAAGTGATATAATTCTGTCATGAAAATTCGACAAATTGATACTTATCCAGGCAGAACAGCAGTGGATGTGACTAAATGATTTAGTTGGCCCAGTTCATTACTTATGATCTCCCTAGAAGCCTCAAGATCCCCACTGTCTCTAAGTCTGAATGGCTGAGCCACACCAAGTTCACCTGAACCTTAATTCTACTGACTTCTGCACCACTCTGGAAAACCAGATTACTTTTAGCTTTATCTCCTAAGAATTTCTGAATACCTCTGTTTTATGGTTATTGGTAATACTTTCAACATGAAGTAGAATGACTTCCATTCACTCAGAAATACGGAGAAGACATCTCTTAAAAATATCTGGGGTTGGCTTAAAAGTTTGTTCAGGTTTTTCCATAATTCTTTACAGAAAAATCTGAATGAACTTTCAGACCAACCCAAATATGACTTTATTATTCACAGGAGTCTTAGCCTCTAGAAATATTTTGCACTGAGAGAAAGCTATAAAGATTTGATTTTTGTTTTCTTTAGAGTTGTTCTAAAGTTTATATGTTACCCCATATAAGAAATTATGACAGTACTATAAAAATTTAAACATAAAATTTCTTCTCTGCCCTTAGCCTCCTCTCTCCCCACACAGTGAATTGTGTCTCTACGTTATGTGTTGATTAAACCTGTCCCATTGGCAGGAACACCTGATCATCCATAAAGGGCAGCCACAAGACAAAAAAAAAAAAAAAAGAAATTATGACTAAAGAACTCAATCAAGCTCTATCTATTAATCCTCTGAAAGTAGCTTTTAGGTTGAGATTTTAGGTGTGAGATTTTAGGTGTGGCTCAACTGTATACCTTCAGTTGACTTGTCATCCTTTGAAAGAAGCTGGAAGGGATGGGAGTCCCATCTTCCTCTTTGCCTTGACCCAGGTCAGCCCATGCTCACACCCATTCCTACATGTAGACATAACCTTTTCTTAGATGTCAGCTCTCTGATGGAGTCCACAAATGTTATAGTCTTCTATTTTATCCAGCTTTTTCTGTTGTTAGGATAACACTCTTCCTCGCTTTCTCCATCTTAAGTGGAAACCAACAGTCCCTGTTGTAATGCTTTTTTTAAGATTTGTCTTCAAAAACATGTAGTGTGACTGAATGATTCTTACAGTAATTTACCAAATAATTTTTATGAAAATATATATATTGTATAATTGTTATAAAACACTGCTTATTAGGAAATTCCTCCATTCTGAGAACTTTATGGTCATTTTCTCTTTTAATTAATCTTTAGGCCTCAGAGGAGCTCCAGGTTACTCCTTGGACCAAGCCCATCATCTTCCCATTGAAATGGATCCACTAATTGGTATGTTAACAACAAAAAATGCATTTTCATAAATGCAGCCTATCCACAGGTTCCTGTGTGGTTATTTATCACAAATGACAGTTGAATGATACTTTTTCTGTCATAACTTAATGTACAAATAATGTCAAATTGCCATCCAGGAGCTGTGCAAATCATAATATGTCATCTAAGAATTTTTTGATATTAAAATAATGATTTGTGGTATTTTCTTGGTATTTCCAGAGGTCATTTAGGTTGATTCTAAACAAGACATGTAATTCCAAACTGTGCTTTCTTTCAGCCACAACTCTTCTTTAACAATTTTATATTATTCCTAATATATAAGGACTCAAAGCTATTATTAAGAAAGTTGATACTAAAGAATAACTTTTCTGGAAATCTCCATTCAATAGAGCTTAGTATTTTTTTTTTAATTTAAGATTTCATATGGATTGCAAACTCAGGAGCTATAACTATTTGTAGCAGTATTCAAAGTATTTTTAGATAATCACATACACATTTATTAGCTGTGTGATGCAGAACAAGTGCCTTAATCTTTCCGGGCCTCAGTTTCATATCTGTAAGATGGTTACTAATAATGTTTGTTCTCCCTATCCTCATGGGATCATATGAGAGCTAAATAAAGAAAAAAATCGAATGTGGTATGAAAAATTATAAAGCCATAAGCAATTTATGGTATTTTTTCTTTAGATTAATTCAGCCTTCATCTTTGAACCCAGAAATAAGATGCAAGGCAGCCATTTAGGTTAGTTACCTATACTCCTACACAGAATAGCATTTATATTTCTCTCGGAGAATATATGCTTAGGACAAGGAATATTTTTCAAGTGGAGTCTAGCTTCTAGCTGTTTCTCTGCTAAAAAAATAGCAACAGTTTCACGTACAGCTAGAGTGTAACCGTGGAAGATTAATAGCTGTATGCTAATTAATCAGGCACCAACTACATAGTTTTCAAGTGACTCAGACCTTTGATTTTCTTTTCCTTTGCTGTTTTTGTAAACTTTTTTTTTTTTTTTTACTTTTTGCCTCCTCTAGTAATTATTATTATAGTGTCAGTCGATGTCCACAAATAGTAGCACTTAGATTTAATTGGTGTTAGGAAGTGATGGTGATCTTCTACATCTGCATTTTCTGTTTAAGAATTCAGCCCAGGGATTTGGCCTGAAAGGACGGTGTGGAGTAAGGGACAGGCTGGCATGCAGACAGGCACTGGGGAAATCACAGGGCATCTCTGAGTTCCTGACTTTATTCACATTCAGTCCCAGTGCTGCCCATGACTCTCTGCCTGTCTCTTTCTTCCCCAGCGCCTCTCCCATCTTTCTCGTTCCCCTCCTCCCCTGCCAGCCCATTCTGGAAAGGCTTCTGTTTGTTGACAACCCAGGTCTTTAAAGCTGCTGACCTAAAGCTCCCTGAGGGGCCACCTACATAACAACACCCCTCGCACAAATCCCTACTTTCTTCTTTTCCCATGAATCATAAAGGCCATCAGAAAATGACAGATGGGGGCAAATATGAAAACATTTTTTCCTTATGTAACATACTTCATACAATATTTATTTCTTATTATTATTGAACTTGTTGGACAATAATGAACTTGTGTAGGGTGAATATCTATTGAATTAAGTGCATATAAATATTTTTATTATGTTGTAAATTCCCATCTTGAATTCCTAATATCAGTGGAAGAACTACTTAAATTTCCAACAATTTTTTAATATATAATATGGTTCATAAATAATCACTGCTACTAAAGAGTTTATATTCCTCATGGGGAAATGCTAAAATCTTAATCATATAGCATTAGAACCCATTTCTAGATAAATGAAGCATAAAAGTATTCCTTCTGTAAGTGGTGAAACTCTTTGTAGAATCTCTCTTTAAATTCCTGTATCTTTTTTTTTTTTTTTTTGACAACTGAATTAACTTTATTCTCTTCTAACTGCAGATTCAAGGTATACAACTGAACATTGCTATTTGTTTTATGTTTAGCCAATAACTCTGGTGTGAATAAACGACAGATCACAGACCTCGTTGACCAGAGCATACAGATCAACGCACATTGTTTTGTGGTCACGGCAGATAATCGCTATATTCTTATCTGTGGATTCTGGGATAAGAGCTTCAGAGTTTATTCTACAGAAACAGGTAAACTGAACTATGAGATACCTTATCTTCATCAGAATGCCTGTTGTTTCACCTAAAGTTTCATATTAAGTCATACTTCTTAATGTAGGCATCTTCATCTTGATGCCAAGATTCCAATTAAATGTCCACATTGTAAGTAATTGACTGCTTCTAATTTCATCCATTCTGAACTTTAGCGTGAGTTGAGCCCTGAGTTCATGGGACAAAAGGGACTACTGTCCCCCTCCCCCAAATCAAATCTAGTAAAAGGCCTTAAAGCTCCCCTTAGACTGGCCTAGCCCAAGGGGAAAAAAATCATGATTGTGTTATTTTATAAGTTCTTTCCTTAAAACAAATGCCGAAGTGACATTCTTGTATCATTTTTTCAGACGGGATTCAAGAACCTAAATCTGTAGCTAGATTTGAATTACCTTGTAAGTTTACAGGTCTATAGAGTCACTTTCCACAAATCTAGTAAAATAAAGTTAAGCTTACTACTGTTTAAAGAAAGATAGCCATTGGATTCGACATGCCGTTTCTGTGTTGCAGGGAAGCTAACTCAGATTGTATTTGGCCACTGGGACGTGGTGACGTGCTTGGCCAGGTCTGAGTCGTACATCGGCGGGGACTGCTACATCGTGTCTGGGTCTCGCGATGCCACCCTGCTGCTCTGGTACTGGAGCGGCCGACACCACATCATAGGGGACAACCCGAACAGCAGTAAGTATCGGTCCGGAATTGTCCCATCAGACTGTAAATTCCTTTAATTTCCCTAATAACTTCTGCTGGGATTGTAAGGATTTTAAAATAGGAAAGCTTAAAAAGCATTGGAATGTAGCTGTATTCTTTATTGGAATATAGCTGTATTCAGAGTGTAAAAACAGAGCAACCACTCTAACCTTCAGCCTGAGGAAACTCCCAGATCCCCTCACAGTGACCCTCTGCCCAGCTGCCCTTCCCCAGTCTCCAGATGTCCCCATCCTTTTGGAATTGCCTTCCATGTCACCTGGTCCGTTCAACTTCCTGTGATTTCTCTCAACTGAATGTATTCTCTCCCTTCTCTGAAATTCCATACACTTTATTCGTGCCTCCTGAGGACACCTACTGCTTTCCACGAGGGGTATAGTAAGTATTTCTATTTATTTGACAGTGATTGAGTACCCCCTCAGGTTAGGCATGGAGGGGAGCGGAAGCTGAATAAGATGATTTCTTTGTTTAGGGTGATTCCTGAGTGTTTTTTGTTCAACAGTGCTCCCAAAAATATTCCATAGGAAAAAAATGAGGTACTCCAGAGTAAAATAAATTTTAGAAAACACAGCTTATATACTGTTATTCTCTATGTAAGCTCTGAAAGACACACAAATACGTCTGTTGATGTTTGCATAAACCAGAGTTTCTCAAGGGCTTCCCAGCTGGTTCAGTGGTAAAGAATCCAATGCAGGAGACACAGGTTTGACCCCTAAGTTGGGAAGATCCCCTGGAGAAGGAAACAGCAACCCCACTCCAGTATTCTTGCCTGGAGAATCCCATGGACAGAGGAGCCTGGTAAACTGCAGTCCATGGGGCTGCGAAGTCTCACACGACTGAGCACACACACGCGCACATGGTTTCTCAAACATGTTTTCCAAGGAACCTTTTGCTCATGAAAGAGCAGTTACTATTCCTGCGAACTGTTGTTCTGAGGAAGCTCTGATGCGCACCATGAGACCCTCTCTTTGCACTTGAAGGTTCTGATTCCTGGCATAGTTGCACACATTATAGGTTTTCCATAAATACTGTTAAATGACTGAGGAACTAGATAACAGATTTCCTAGAAATAATTACTGGTTTTAACTACCAAGCTTGTATCTCCTATAAAATAGAGAATGATTTCTGTAAACTGTTAATAATGGCAATACCTAAACTAGGGTTATTCCAATTATAATTCATACATTGGTCACAATTTTAACAGTACTCTGAAAACATAAGTTTGGGAATATTTATGATGAAACAGCCAAGAATTTCCCAGGAATACTATGTACCTGCCAAGAATTTCCCAGGAATACTATGTACCTGCCACTGAAATACTATAGAGAAAAAAGAAATGTACAGGAGACCAGGGTATAACTGTGCAAGAGCGGGGCATGGAAATGTTCATATGTATATGAAGGTAGTGAGAGAATGAAAGACCGGGTGATTTAGATGTGACCCAGTGATTTATTCTTGTCACCCATAGCTAGAGGTGAAAAAAGGTAGATGAAGAAACTAAAAGTGTATTATGAAGTTGTGTTTCTGAGTGTAGATACTGAATAAGAGAAAGTACGTGTAATTATACATTTTAGCCTCTGCTCCAGGTTGTGAGATATTGGTTTGAGGAAAACACACTGTTGCTTGATTTCCAACCAGCACAACTGATCAGCCACCAATTCTACAGTATACAGGACATCATACTCTAATTGCTAATAAGTTATTTACTCTTTTAAAAACTGTATCCCTAAAAAAAAGAAAGAGATTTGTTTTTAACAGGATTCTTGTGTGTGTGTGTGCATAAAATATATTTGATCTACTTTATTATTATACTTTATTATTCTTAATCATGGTACATTATCACATGTATTTTGTCTAAATGTATTTTTACATATTTCCAAACTTCCTTTTTTGAGACTAGTGTAGCATTCATTACAAGAGAAGTTGAATTGAGCAACAGAGCTGTGTGGTATCTTCCATCTATTATTGACACAAATTAGAAGTTATTAGATATAAAAAAAACCTTATAAAGGAGCAGAATAGTGTTTTCAATCCAACTAATTAACATCTTCAAAATGAAGCTCAGAAATGATGAAAATTATGTTTCCAAAAACAATTCATTTCTTAAAAACTACCATCTGGTAGTAGAGAAGATAATATAATGTCCTGCTATGAGATAAAAATGTTAAATTATAGTAATTATCTGTTAACTACTTTATTTTCTAATTATCTTCTAAACGAAATGATGGTTGACAATTGATTGTATCTTTGCTCCATCACTTAGCAAGAAGAGTGAAATGTAGTATTATTTAGAGTATTCAAAGTTCCTATGGTAGGAGCTGTGTAATAGGAATGTTTATGTTAATTCTTAAGAACAAAACTGTGACTGATAAATTTGTTAAAATGTAGCATTTTATTTAACCTTTAAAGAAAGACAGGATTATCCCTAAGAAATCCTTGCATAATATTACCCATACAGTATTGTCTCCATTTGTGGGGATATATATTTTTTGATTAAAAACTGTCATCATCATTATAAACCTAAAGGACTTTCATAAAACCCACCCTGCCAAGACTTTCCTAGACATTTAATGTGAGCATATATCACATGGTTCCATTGTATTTGTTATCCTTAACATAAAAGGGAAGAAATGCTCTTCTAGATTAAACAGGATGAATTGCTAAAGTATTGGCCAAGGAGCAAGCATGTACTGAACATCTGCTGCGTCCTGGTACTGTCTTAGCAGCTGGGAGGGCTGGGCAGTCAAAGTCTCTGACTTTCTGGGGTTCACCAAAAAGTCTGTATTATAATCTGTATAGACTATAAGAGTCACAGAACTGCTTCTCCTGCTTGGAATTATCAAGTGTACTGAGTACTGCATGGATCATTAATTGCTATCAGATAATATTTAGATACTATTTAGATATGTACTCATATCTACAAAATGTTTAATGTTATATCTTGGGCACAAATAGATGATTATATAAAAACTGATTTAAGCTTTTTGCCACATGGAGAGAAAAAATCATGATAGTAAAAAATAATAGTCATTTTTAGTAGTTGATTGACTTGACTGATTTGTGACTGACTTAACCTGTTACAAAAGGCAACCTCGCAGCTCATGTAGGCATGCCTAGAGAGACCGTATATGTTGGTCAGTTCACCTTTTGCAGAGGCAGTCAAAGCACACACTGAATTGACTGTCACATCAGGGATCAGCCATGGGTATTTGCCATACAGAAAACTCAAAATATGAAAGGAAAAAGCTTTTTTTTTTTTTTCCAGTTTCAGTTTAATCTATTCTAGCTACCAATTCACAGGTCAGAGAATCAGGCTATATGTGCTTTCTATCTCATAATGCATTGCTACACAAGACCAAAAAGCTAGTTATGTCTAAATTCATATTAAAGTGTGTGACACAATGCCCTTAGGTTTCAAGGGTTGTATATATTAACCTAGACTTGAAGAGGGAAGTCCTGGCGTGAAATGTAATATCCCAGTAGCCGTTAGAATTCAGGACTTGTCTTGCTGTGGACATTAAATTTGCTTTGTATGTCAGAGGCTGAATCATATCTATCCAGCACACCATAATGTGATAGGATTCATTCACTCACCTTATGTGCACATCACTAAAACTTCCTCAAGATAAACCCAAGCACTTTAATAGATGTATGCTTCTTTTACATTGTCATTATTATTTTTTGATGCATAGCTCTATTGGTGTCACAGAGGGAAAAAAATAGTGTCTCTGCATTTTTTTAGGTAAGTTTGAAAGAGTTAATGGCTTCATTGTGTCAAATACATATATTGTTATGACTAACTTGGACATCTCATAAATAAATCTTTTTCTAATTGTCTTTACAGTTTTAATGAATTTGCCACAAAGACAATGAAAATGTGTAAGCAGATGATTACAGAGTTTCAGACCATAAAAGAAACACGCAAAGGCTACCTGACCTAGGTTCCAGTTGAATTAATTATACTGGTTTCATTGATATATTGCAGGCTAATATTCACTGCTACTATTTCAAACTTGCGACTCCGAACATAGACAATTTTCCTGTAGAGGTAAATAGGTGCCTGATAAGATAACAGAATTGCAGAGATGTGAAGGACACACACTTTGATCTGAAGCAGACTCTTACACAAATTGTGAAACTAATTTGGAAGTGATAAAAATTAATTTGCGCACTTTAATTGGAAGCAGGCGACCGCCTGAAAGGAAGGAGAGCAGAGCAGGCAATCTGTGCTCAAAGCTGATTGAATTTTTTGTCAGGCAGGTATCTTGGACTTGGCCGCTTATCCTCCTGAGCCCTTCTCTACAATATATTACAGCCCATCTCTGACTGGTGTTCTTTAAAAGGATCAATGCTATTCCTGTTGAATCCCTGGAGCCCCAAATTTCATTGATCTTGGGACTTGACATTTCTCATTACGTGCTGTAGCTTCCAACGAGATAGTCACAAGAGGGGCAAGTCAACATTGTCTCTTCAGCAGACACTTAAAACACATCAGGGCCTCGGCTCCAAATCCAGTCTGCTTGTAAAGTGTGTGGTTTTAATGTCTATACCAGATACAAGGTGCTGGATAGAGAGCTGGTTGACATTTTTTTTTTAATCATAGCAACAGGAAACTTTGAAAGAGAATTTACTGTTCATCTTTACAAATCAAATCTACGAATACACTTTGAGTCATATGTGTAAAAGGTTGTTATTGTACTTTTGCAATTTCACTTTTGAAAAACAAGCCTTTAGCTCACGTTTGAGCATTATGCAAAACAAACTATGAAACGAGAAGCCCATTGAAAAGGAGACTCCAGCTGTGCACACATCTTTTCCCTGGGCTCCCGTTGTGTAAGCCTCAGCTCTGGACACTGACACTCCTGCCAGCTCCAGCCTGTCACTAAACATCTGCCAAATCACATCCCTTGCTCTGTCTGCATCCAGCCTTCTTTTCAAATGACCATCCTGGTGCCCAGCTCCCCAGCCACCAC